ATATTTTAAAATGTATTGAACTATTTTTGAGCAGATGGGTAATATAGAATTCCGACGAAACTCTTGAATAGCTCCAGCAATGTTTTTCTTTTTAACTGGGACAATTCTAGCCAGTTTCCAGGCAACAGGAAATACAGAGGTGTGTCAAGATATTGTTAACCAAGTGAAGAAAATTGAGAAAAGCTATGGGGAAAGGCAACGAATTATCATGAGCAGTAATACCTAAATTGCTATTAATCATAAAAACCCTTCGGCCACAAAAAATTACAATGTGAATAAATGTAAAAGAAAGAAAACCATGGAATATATTGATCTGCAAAAGAAACATTAGGTACATCACAATCCATGTTGCTTTGTCAATCTTCAGCACCAAAAAAAGTTTCACACTGTTCTTCAGTGTCAAGTGTTTTACACAGTCTATTTGGAAACATGATATTCACTTTAGAAAAATGAGTATCTACTACATCATTCAAAGTGATACAATCGAGTCGATGGAAATTTGCCATAATGGAGTCGCTCGCATGAACGGTTGTGAGCTTAGTAACTACAGCCTTGCCGCCAAACACATAACAGCAATGTTGTATCTCACTCGGTTTAATTTCTACATTACATAGTCTTGCCATCTTCATGACGGTTACGGATAGATCTTGACAATATATTTATAATTATGTCAACTCGGTTATGGCGCCTTTGGCGGACCAGTACCTATTCTGTAACCTTTAAACAACATTCGATATTGTGAATGAAATATGAAATATATTTAAACGTTTTTTCAGGCCGAACTTTAACAATATCTACACTGATGCATTCAGGATGAACAAAATTATACTCCTTTGTTAATAACTTTTAACAGGGTTTAAACGCTAACACCAAAATGGCAAAAACACCGAAAATTACCGCATTGCTAGCTAAATTCATCCTCAAAATATGCAGTACAGTCAAGCACAACTGCAACAAATAGCAACACATTACAAAAAATTATAGCAAGCAAAACTAAAGCTTCTTGATATTGTCAGCAGCTAAAAAATAACAACAACTACAACATAATTCACAACGCGACTAACAACCATAGCTTACAATGAAGCGACTTTACTATCACTGCTTGCAAGATTTTTAGCCTTTTACCCCGAGCATTTTTCTAGTTCAGTGTTGGCCATTGAAATTTTATGAATGATATTAGGGAATTAAACATCGGGATTATGATAATAAATTTTTTCGAACAAAGACAAACCTCTAGTTTTTTATTTAATATATAATTTAGTTTTTAGTACTATTATTGAGTTTAAATTAAATAACAACACACAAAATGAAATGTCTTTTTTCTAATTTCTGCGTTGGCAACACGCAAACATAAAAACAACCCTCGGCTGAATATTCGTCGGCAACGAAATATGAATATGTATGTAGTCGTATTGCCGATTAGTCGTAACAAAAAAGCTCGCATGTGAAATACGTGCTTAGCACGGATGCTACGAACTAAAAAAGCTAACCGTTTGCTGATTTAAGTGGGCCACACACGTCAAACATGTGCGTTCGATCGGTGTGAAGCTCCTAGCCCACACACGTCAAACGGATCCACAAAACTTCATTTATTATTTATTTTTGAAGCGTTAAGATGGACAGCGAAAGTGATGACGGAAAAAAGACCAACTATTTTTATTTAATATAAATGTATTAAATATTTTTATTTTATTCCAGAAAAACATTTTTATTTATTTTATATGTGTAAAAAAAACATCAAAAAATTTTCCAAAACGTTTTTTTTTCATATGTTTGACATTGTCCGCTGATCCGCACTCGACGAAATTTCGCAACAAATGAGGAAATATCCACACACCAGGCCACAGACGTCAAACATGTGCGCGTCGCACAACGAAAAATTAAAAATTTTTAATTTCTTTCGATCGGTGTGCGCACCGGCAAATCGGTGTGAACACCGTACCACACACGTCAAACATTGCTTCGATTCACACCGATCGAACGCACATGTTTGACGTGTGTGGGCCACTTTAGTCATAATGACTTTTACGCATATGGGGCAGGAACATCTTCATCACGATATGTATTTTATATATATGCTGTCACTTATTTCATCCATATGTAATTCCTTATGTGTGTGACATAACCTTTAAACAAAAAACAATTTTATTTGTTCTTAAATCAACATCATTTTTTATATTAAATACCTACACGAAATAATAATTTGTAATTGTTGCCTTTTCATCCTTTTCTTTTTGCAATTTAAATACTTTCTTCCAACAAAGTGTTTCATTTAATCTGCACAATAAACTTATTTTGGGATATGAAACTACGATGCGATGTATTTTAATCAGTCGTTAAGTTTAAATGTTGACCAAAATCATAAAATGTTTTTTATTTTATGAATTTTATGCCTATAATATGCCTAAAAAGTGAGTATTGAAGCATTTTAAGTGAAATTCTAATGAAGCATTTTAAGTGATATTTTGCAAAATCTTACTGGATGTTGTTTATTTACTTTTCTCAGTACTATTGCAAAAGAGGTTCAAGAATTCCATCCGATTTCTATTTTACCTATATGTTCCAAAGTTGTTGAGCATATTTTGAAGTCATGGTTTATTTGTAACGTACACAACAATTGTTTGTTGAATGATGTACAATGTGGCTTCAGAAAGAAGAGAAGTACTGCATTGCTTTTGCTGAGACTGACAGACAGTATATGTGCTAGTTTAGGCAATACGAGGTTTTGTGTTCTCCTGTCGCTTGACTTGGAGAAGGTGGTTGATAGGGTACATATTTTTTAGTTGGTTTGTAAGTTGCAATCTTTGTGGCAAGAAGCGCGAGTTCGTTGGCTGTTACCCGAGTTATCCGGTTTGTTGAATACCCGTACCCATGTCATGTTATATGTAATTGACCTTTTTGGTTGTTCTTTTCAGTCGTATGTTGATTCACTTAGTTTTTTAATTGATCAAGAACCAATGTCTCCAATTTTTGGTAAAAACCTCGGTTTTATGCTGATCTACTAGATACAATCATCTCCAAATTCTCATTGTACACCATTTCATGAATGATTCGTTTTTAGTTTGTGTTGCGCGGCTGTACAACGCTTTACACATCGAATTAAATAAATCAGTATTACACTAATCATGTTTTTAAATGAATGATGAGTTCTTTTAGTGTTTCATAGGTAAAAGTTATACTTTATTCTTATTTTTCATATCTATAAGTTACGGCATTTCAATTTGTTAAGTATAATATATCCTCATATTCCACCTGAAGGTTTGGTATACATGTTATTGTTGAATAGAGATAAAAAAAATAAATAACTCACATATACTGTCGTTGCAGAGCTCTGAAGACTTGGATACTGACACAGAATTTGAACCAGTTGAGGACATGACTTTGGAAACTCGTAGTCGATGTAAGTATATATATATATATATATATATGCGCACAGTATACAAAATAATTATAATAAAATTTTACTCTCTTACAGCTAGTGCACACACTGCCGACCAAACTGTTGATGAGTATCCCGATATCAGTGGTATTTGCACAGCAAGGGTAAGTGAATAAAACATTTCTTATTTTTTTTTTTTTTTTTTTTTTTTTTTTGTAAATTTTTCGTAAAAAAAGGAATTAAGTTATATTTCAATTTTTCAAGTTTTTTCGATTTTGGATTTTTTTGATTTCTTCGCGATGCACAATTTTTTTGCCTTAAAACAATTTTAATTTTTACAAGACCAATAAATTGAAAAGTGGTACGTTTTGTACATTGCTTAACTACTGAGGTGGTTGTAAATATTTATATATTTTTCATTCTGTGTGTGCATTATTGGAGTAAGAAAATATGTGTAAATCAAACGGCAAGTAGTTCCAGATCCTGGCAACAGGAGCCAAAAAATATTTTTCAATATATTATTAATTTGAATAGTACGGGATTAGCAAGGACTTTGGGTATCCACTTTTAGCATTTTCATAAAAGTATTGCGTATATCAATAAACACCCGAAAAGAATGTCCTAGAAACTTGGTTATAAAAACAGAAATTTGTTTGGTTATGCGAACATCAAATTCGAGTCTTGCAATGGTATTCACAATACGTTGCAATTTTAAAAATTAATATTAGTAGTCCCTTTTAAAACTTTAAGAACATAGAGGATAATTTTCATTGAATAGTGTCTATGTGGAACCCAAAGTTAAGTTTGTTATTTAGTACCAGTCCTATGCATTTATGTCTATTCAATATTTCAATGCGAGTCTCTCCTAAGAATATACGAGTATTAGTAATAGTTATTACTAACAATAGGACCAACATTTAAAACAAGAGACATCAAACTATAATAACGTAAATAAAATTGGGAACCAATTAAAAAACATTAAAATAGATTAAAAGAATACAATATACCATTAATATTCAAATTACAACTGATCACTTTATTCAAGACATCAAGAGATAACATATTTATTCTATTTATATCAATAAATGTCAATATGGCTGACTAATCGTACCCTACAACATATTATATATATGATTGAAAAAAGAAGAAACAACTTAATTTTGCAGTGAAATAATCTTTAATAACAGAGGTAGGATTGCACGACTGCATATGAAGTGATTAAAGTATAATGGACAAGAAGGTAGTAGATGGACTTAGAACTTTCCAACACATATGTATAATGTGGGGTAAACAAAAATTCAGTTTTAAAAAATCGAGGATCCATAATCTAAAATCAAATTTTATATCTCATAATAGTAGGGTAATAATAGAGTCTACACATTGATTAACCGTATAGGATACATAAACGATGGAGCGTCTCATGATGTAAGCGTTGGACCAGATGCAGGATCAGCTGCGCAAGTCATCAGTTCCATCAGAAAAGTACAACATAGCTTTTAATTTATCCATATTTAGAATTTTGAACTTTTTAATCCATCCATAACTCAGCAATTTTGTGCAAACCAAATTTAATTCTGAAGCAGCTGGCTGGTAATGATTAATAAGGTTTTTTAACATCGGATTCAGGACCTTCATCCATACCAGACATCTTAAAATGTTCCATAATTTCATCACGAATATGTACAGAATTGAATTTAAATAATATCATTCCCCGCCCGATCATATTGGGTTACACTACCCATTATTCTCCCATGATTCTAATTTGCATTGATGTATTTATTAACGTTTGTTTTGTAGCCCTTCGTTTGTGTTTCAGAAAATTTCGTAAATTTTATTTATTTAATAATTTTAATAAAGCAATCATCTGCCAATAAGAAACATGCTTTTTAAATTTTGCAGGAGGCTATGAGGAAAATGACTGAAGAGGATAAGCAAAAAATTGCCCAACAAGTGGAGCTGTTCCGACGGGAGAAATTAACATTTGATTCCGAAGTAGCTAAATGGGATGATACTGGAAATGATATCATATTTTTAGCAAAGCATATGTGTATGATTATGATGGAAATGACTGACTTTACAAGGTATTTTCTTTTAAAATTAGTTAAAGAACTATAATTCAACAATTTTTTCAGAGGACGCGGCCCACTAAAAACCACAATGGACGTTATAAATGCGGCAAAAAAAATTTCTGAAGCCGGCACCAAACTTGATAAATTAACTCGTGAAATAGCGGAACAATGTCCGGAGAGCTCGACTAAAAAAGATTTATTGGCTTATTTGCAACGCATAGCCCTTTATTGTCACCAAATTCAAATAACATCCAAAGTTAAGGCTGATGTGCAGAATATTAGCGGAGAATTGATTGTTTCAGGGGTAAGTAGAATGCTACGTATGTACATTTTCTTAATAACAGCATATTACGGTTAATATTTTCAGTTGGACAGTGCAACATCTTTGATTCAAGCGGCTAAGAATCTAATGAATGCGGTTGTGTTAACAGTCAAATATTCCTATGTGGCGTCTACCAAATATACTAGACAAGGAACTGTAACGGTAAGAAATTTATTTTTATTTTATTTATTTATTTTTATTTATTATTTTTTCGTTCTTTGTTTTATTAATTTCCCAAATACAAACAAAAATTTACCAATTTTTTAAAACTCATATTTTTTGTTTGTCATACCTTCTAATGGTTATTAAATAATTTCGCAACTTGTTTCATTTTAGTCGCCTATCGTTGTTTGGAAAATGAAAGCACCTGAAAAGAAACCGTTAGTGCGTCCTGAGAAACCAGAAGAAGTGCGTGCAAAAGTCCGTAAAGGATCCCAGAAAAAAATCCAGAATCCAATTCATGCATTGTCCGAATTCCAGAGTCCAGCTGATGCTGTTTAAATTTGAAATAAACTTATTTACGGTTTGCACACATTTATCATATTGTAAGAAGCTCACGAATTTGCGATGTTCTTAAATAAATAATATATACTGAATGAATATGTATTAGATTATATTTACGTTCAACATTATATACATATATATCAAAATACCACTAAGCATTTACGTGGCAATTGTACGTTTTTGGTTAAGAACAAGAATGTTTATCAATATTATGAAGAAGATTTCAATATTATTATAATTTGCAATTACATCATGTCAGCTTTTTCGAATTTATTTAATGGCGATGGTATGCAGTATTAACTATAACATTACAAAATAAAGCGTATAATCAATACAATTCACATTTTAAATTTCATTCTGTTGTTGTTGTAGCACTTTTATATGAATATCATTCTTCTTGTTTGATTCAGCCTGGTTCTGGCCTTATCTCCAAAGTAAAAAATAAAGATCTTCTGGAGTAAGTCGAGTATGTTTAGCAGATCAATTGAATAAGTGCAGTAGGACCAAAATTACTCTGGTTTGCCTGGGCAGTCGACGTTATTTAGCTGCGATTATTAAGGTTGAGCTCCGAGGACGGCATTCACTCTGTATTCATCAGTGCTGCGTCAGTATAAATGCTATTAGACCTGCATAATAGGCAACTTGATCTAGAGGTTCCCTTTTATAACGTTGGTTACCTCTCTCTCTCTCTAGAGTCTTATCCACCATATGGTGGTTATCCCAGAAGCACCCAAGCAGGTACTGCAAAGAAAGCAAATTGCTACACTGACGTAAGGGAAGGTGGTCCACTGGTGTCATTAAGAGGCACCTTGTTGCAGTTCTCAGGGCGTCGTTCTGACAGGTCTGGATACTTCGTCACTGCGTAGCACTAGTATTTGCAGATCACACTGGTACTGCATAGCTAGCCACAGACCGACCTATCGCTGTGTAAGAGGTATACAAGGTTTCCTTCCGACAATCGGATCTACGCTCCGGAACGACCCGAGTCATACTCGGCCAGGGATTGTCAACTCAGCAACAGCTTTACAAAACAATTATTTTTCCCCCAGGTGAGCAAACCACACAAGCCGATATTCTCAAGATCCTGTTGATCATGGCTGGTATTGAGCAGAACCCTGTCCCACTTCCACCAAGGTCACCTTCTGCTTCGTGTGTCACAGTAGGATTACGCGTAACCTTGTCCAGGTACAATGTAGTCAGTGCCTAGGTTGGTGTGGCCTAAGGCGCTGTCTGGCTTGTCCGCCGCCCTCTCAAGTGCCAGAAAGAGTGAGAATATACTGAGACATGCTATTCTCAGGCGTAATATCCCCGTTGGAAGAATTCCGCAGTGTAGAACAGGTTATCCTACTGTTGCAGCCCGACTTGCAGATCATCGTGACCACTTAAGGCAGATGAGTCCAAACGAGCAACCTTGCGAAAAGTCAGGAAACTCCAACGAGAGCCAAAGACATGCTCCTCCTTATCATACACTATATCACATATATCCAATCACAAACACCCAATTAACCCTACACAATCAATCCCACCAGCACCTACATTCATCCTAACCACTTCCACACTGTCAAATCTAATTAAAACTAATGTTTTAATATGACTTGACAAACTATCGGTTCAAATAACTGCACATCTAACGGCGCAGCTCTTCGGATAAGTCTCAGTTTCGTCGTTAAATGTGACTGAGTTCCTATCATTCTTTTTAGTTTACTCACAACGGTTCCGATGTTACAACCATTTTATTGTGCTCCACGACTACTGACATTCAACGTGAGCTCCTGGGATCTGCTGGGTTAGATCGACGGAGCTCACCACGTTCAGTGCCTAGACCAACTGCTTCTGCTGGGAAATTAGGTCTCATCCCGGGTATTCGACAAGCAGGTATAAATCTTGCGGCTGCAGCTGCAATGATGTCCCGGAATTTCCATGTTGCTATCTGTACATCAGAAGGAATGGGACGTTCTCTGAAACGAAAGTTCTCTTAATTTGAAAGGAAAGTGAGGCGTTCAAAGATGATGAAATCGGGCTGTCTGCCAGCACTGGTTATTACCTAAGACGGAAAGCCACATCTTATAGTGACCATAGAAACCCCTAGTACCAGACGGTTATTGCTCTCAAATAGGAATCTATTAAACGGCGGTATATACACGTACACCTCGGCATGTATGGGTCACTCGAGTTTCTAGCTCAAGCGAGATAGCGAGATAATTACTCTTATGATTTCCATATTAAAATGCAGAAATAATAACTCAGTATTGTTTTAAAACATTTGAAATTAATTCAAAAAGGTTAACTGAAATTGTAAATATTTTGTAAATAGCGTAGGTAGCGTGCCATGTGGACTGTTACCACATGCAGCGCAGATAATACTGACCGCGCGTCAATTCGTGCCCAATAACGATTGAGGCGGTTACACCATCCAGATCTCTTCTTCCATTATGTTATGACTTCACTACCACTGAGGGAGTGTAGAATATTTCAAGGTGAAACGGATCAACTCTATTTTTATTCAAATTTTAATTACTCTTATGATTTCCATATTAAAATGCAACTCTGTTTTAAACATTTGAAATTAACGGTTAACTATGTAAATATTTTGTAAATAGTACCAAAAACTACATCACTGATATTACTACCTTTTTACACAACTAATACTAGATTAGAATCTCGCTTCTCATAAGTAGTACCTAACCTCAATCTAATTTCAATAAAATCAGCTACACTCCGAGTCCTGGATCACCCGGCTCTAATTCGTTTAGCGAACACTGAAGGCTTAAGATCATTACCCTCGCTTGCCCAAGTTGATGGACTAGATCATAAGCTGAAAGTAGTTCCTAAACAAGGAGTAGCCAACATTATTGTAAATCTTGTTTTTTCGAGTTTCTTCACTAGAGCCCAACGTGGGGCCTGCTCCATTGACATCCAACGTCGAGTTTCTTCACTGGCGCCCAACGTGGGGCCATGAACTACGACCTATAAGTAAAAGCCGAGGACAACACCAACAAGTCAAACGGCCTTCTTTATAGACGCCCAAAGACAAGGATTGAAAAAGGAAAATACCAAAGCAGATAGCGACGAGTGCGTGTCCGGCGAAGAAGAAGAGATGACGCAGTTTACCGAAAGCCAATTCAAACAACTGATCCAGGCAATGCAGAACAACAACCGGACGGGTTCGGGTTCAGTATATAAAGACATCTCAGACGCCGACGCAGTCAACGGGTTGCATCTGCTATTGGAAGATTATGCAGTTCCGAGTTTGCAGTTCTAGGGGGAGAAGGCGTATACCTGACGTACCAACTCCCAGAAAGATATGATGACTACGAGAACGCCATCTTCATTACTGAATCAACACTCCAGCTCTACTTATCATCTATCAGATTCCACAACACTTTATAACTGATGCATCATCGGGACGATTTCAGCATCAGAGGGGGAGACTGAAACGGATCAACTCTCTCCACAACACTTTATAACTGATGCATCATCGGGACGATTTCAGCATCAGAGGGGGAGACTGAAACGGATCAACTCTCTTTTTATTCAAATTTTAATTACTCTTATAATTTCCATATTAAAATGCAACTCTGTTTTAAACGTTTGAAATTAACGGTTAACTATGTAAATATTTTGTAAATAGTACCAAAAACTACATCACTGATATTACTACCTTTTTACACAACTAATAATAGATTAGAATCTCGCTTCTCATAAGTAGTATCTAAGCTCAATCTAATTTCAATAAAATCAGCTACACTCCGAGTCCTGGATCACCCGGCTCTAATTCGTTTAGGCTTAAACTCCTTGTACATTAGAACTTTTTACCGGGTTAACCTTCTTTATGAGGATTTATTTGACATATATGCAAAGGATATGACAATTGAAACCCACTGGGTTAACGAAATCCGGTTAAATGTAAACGTACTTTTAAGGTCATTACCCACGCTTGCCCAAGTTGATGGACTAGATCATAAGCTGGACGTAGTTCCTAAACAAGGAGTAGCCAACATTATTGTAAATCTTGTTGTTTCGAGTTTCTTTACTAGAGCCCAACGTGGGGCCTGCTCCATTGACATCCAACGTTTCTTCAAAGATTAAATATCTCGTCTTGTGGTATTTAGTTTTCGGTTTAATAAAATAATGAAGAAAAATGCCCACAATTACTAAATACAAAAACGAGGATACGTCTTACAAAAATATTCAACATTCCAATTGACTGAAGACATGCTCTCATAGTCGCAAACATCGTTTTTTTCATGAACTTTAGAGTTACCAGCAAAACAATTTTAGAGGTAGACAATAAACATTTGGTACATTCGATTTAATGAATGAAAGAGATAAATGAAGAAAAAGAGTTTAAACAATTCAGATCTGTTATGGATAGCTCTTTTTCCCTAGTAGGATTTTTATCAATTAAACCATATTGCCTGATTATACTCCAAAAATATTTAGAACTAGTGCAGGTATTAAAAAGTTCCTTGTGTTTCCTCTTAATGGATTTGACCCGATTTCTTGACTTGCTGTAAATTTGCCATTGTAGAGTACTTTTATGCTCAATATAAGAACTATATGCCAAATCTGCAATAGATTGATGGTAACAAATGATAGAGGAATTTATTCAATTGTCTCCGTTAAATAATTTTCTGAAGATTCTCTTTGGAAATACGGAATGTAATTGTCATATTCCACACATGATTATGTCTAAAACAATTGAATTGTTTACGAAAATAATGTGTGTTGACTAATTTGTGTAGTGCGCGCTTAAAAATGTGGAAAATAAACAATAATTTCCAAGTTTTCCATCATGTTTTACAATTTTATTTTGAGGATTCGAAAATATTACATTTTCAAAATAAATATAATTTGTTTGTTTACATTTTTCTGTCAAATGACGCTGACACTAGTATAACTTACAACAAATTTTCATGTGGTTATTGTATAGTTTGTTGTACAACAACACTTGCTGTTACCTCCTATTATTGTACCATGGTTTGAAGAATAAACAAAAATGCAATTTA